TATATATATATATATATATATATATAAAACGCATCACCTTATCTCACATAATATTTAATTAGGGGTGGGCAAACTGCACTATAGTGTACTGCACTATAGAAGTTTATAGTTAACTACAAACTAGTTCAGGAAAACTGCACTGAACTAAAAAATAGTTCAGAGTAACTGAACTGAACTACTTTTTAGTTCAGAGTAATTGAAATGAACTAAAAATCTCAATACAAAGGAAACTGATTTTTTCATCTGAGAGGACAGGAACACGATCAGAACACCCATCAATTCAAAGTCATTCCTCTTAAACCTCAGCATGAAACCAGAAATACAAAGTAATTCAACTCCTGGGTCTGCTTATTTTTATAAACTAATGCATCTCAGTCTGATGGATAACAAAGAGATTAATATTATGGATGGATTCATTCAACTGGAGAAAATATTCACAGAAACAAGGGACATAAGGGCCAGCATAACTACCCATAAAAAGATGGTAAGATCAAGCGATCAATAAACTATAGTGTACTGACATAATTCACTATTTTGGCAACTACAAGGATCAAATGGATAATTAAAGTCATAAATTGTAAACTTCTTGGATTTAAAACTGATTCAATAAAACAGTTCACTTTGGTATAACACACAATTGCATTCCACCTTCTTATTTACTGCTCTTACAAGTGGAGAGTATTTACACAGAAGTTCATAAAAAAATGAAGAATGAAGAATCAAGAATCAAGAGAATTACTTAAGAGCAAGGAGATGTAAGAACTAGAGGATCAGATACCTGAACCCCTTCATTACCAAGTTCTGTAATTGTATCAAACACTTGACTAACAGAAAGAACTGCTCCATCTGTGAAAACCAGGACAACACGACCTTTCTTTGCACCATCCTGCAATAATCAAAACTTAAATTTAAAACATTGAAAGCTAAAGATATTCACATCTTTCTATCCTCACACAACAAAATATTTTAGCATGAAAGAGAAATAAAAAGAATACAAAACCAGCTATGAAATAATCAAATGGACATACATACACTTTTGGTATGTTCATGACAATCATATTGATTCTTGGTTTAATAATCTAGATGTCCACCAACAAGTAGTCATATTGAAGGAGGTGTAAGAGACGAATCTATCTGGAAAAAGAACAATCTACTTCCTGACGTTTTTTCTAAGAAAAGATTCAATTTTTAATCTGTCATGACAAATAACTTTCATGTGATACTCACAGTATGCATAAAATGAAATAAAATATATATACCATTCTCTGGTGAGTGAAGGGTGAAAAATATATATACCATGCCAACACCAAGGCCTCTTAGAACAAGGCAAGCCATAACAGAGGCTATAAGTTAAGCGACCCAGTAAAAGAGTGCAGTTGGTACACTAACCTCTCATTACCATTGCAAAGGTCACTGCTCGGTTAACGTGTCGACTTGAGATTTCTCCAACACCATTGCTTGGTCATTGCCATTGTTTGGTAACTTCCCTGTCATTTCTCCAACACCATTAAATCAAATTACAAAAAACTAAAGCTATTTATTCTATAAGAAGATAACTATATCAGACAAAACTAATTCTTCTTGAAAACAAGAAAAACACAAGCATTGAATGTTTAATGTTTATTCTATAAGAAGATAACTATATCAGACAAAACTAATTTTGTTGCACTGTTTAATGTTTACTACCCTGCAAGAATTGAATGCTCAATGTAAAAATGAGAATAAGCACTCATATTAGTTGACTTCTTCCAACCTATTCTTACTATCTTATTAGTGTTTTCTTTAATCTTTGTTCCAATTAATTACACATCATCATTTACACAATTACATCTGCTGATGAACATTAGCAACATTACTACAGCATTTGGAATAAAATCTAAGGCCGACAAATACAAACCAAAACATACAATCACTTAATGATTCCCCAAAATCCACACAGATTTCTCCTAAACTTTGTCCTGCTTCAATCAAAACAAACTAATTATCCAAATTCACCCCTGAAAGTCTGTCTAAACGCAATTAACATAAAAACCAAAGTTAACCAATGTACCCAATGGACAAAAAGCAAAAAGATCATATAACACCCTTCAAAAGCAACAATCTTTCATTACTTTCCATCAAATTCCTCATAAAAATGTCTGACCATTGAACAACATACAACACTAAAACATACATAATCTTAAAAGAAACCTAAAATTAACAAAGAACAAGATAAACACAACACAACACAAGTCATTGAACTGAGGACATTAACTGGTGTCTTTCTCAAAACCCTACAAAGTAAAGCAACAGCACAAAGAGGTAAAAGCAAAGATAGGCAAGCTCGAACACAATAATCAAATCACTGCTTACCTTGACGGTCGATGCAGCAACGAACAACAGATCCCCTCGACAAACGATACAACAACAACCACGACAAGGACGATTGAAGCAATAACAAATGTAGCAGGGACCCTCCACGACTAGCCTCCTCCCTCAACCCCAACCTCGCTTAGGCCACAAATGTCAGAGTCATAGTGGGCAGCGGTTGCGTCACGACAAGACTAGGGCAGGGTCACCGTAGATTGGGTTTTCATTTTCGTAGGGTAAGGCAGTGTCTGATTCATGTTTTACAACAAAATGGAAATGAGGGGAGTGATGGAAAAACATTAAAAAAATAAGCAAATGGTTTTCAGTTAACTGTACTGAAAAAATAATAAGTTCAGTTTTTCTTAACTGAACTAGATAATAGTTTAATTAGATTTTGGTATAAATGGATTAGTTATTTTTAGTATAAAACAGTACAATTAACTATAGATTAGTATAGTTACAGTTAGTTTGCCCAACCCTATATTTAATTACTAATGTGAAATTTTATAAAAAATCTCGCTGAAAAAAAGACTCAGTAAAAAAAGTTAAAACTCCATTTAAATAAAATTATTAGAAAATCTAAAATCATTTAGAAACTTTTATAGGAATTAAATTGGTATTTACTCAATAAGAGTTAAAGATCAAACGAGACTATAAATTAATACCTCTGTGGAATCCGGACACTTCCGCGCTCTGGGCACATTGTCTCTCTTTTAATCGCTGATTGTATCGATTTTTCACCCTTTCCATCCGGAACATCAAGCACAGGTTACTAACTTCGATTCTTCTTCTTCTTCTTATTTTTTTATTTTTATTTTTGTAGGGTTTTAAGTTTTTTCTCCTTTCACGATTTTGATAATTTGCTCCACTTCTAGGGTTTTTGACGGGACTCATTGTCATTGAAACAGTCATGCCTCGGTACATATGAAATTGTGGATTCCTTTATATTTCAGTTTTCATGAATCCACGATATTCATTTTTTCTTGATCGATTTTGCATTGCAGGTATTACTGTGACTACTGCGACACCTATTTGACCCATGATTCTGTAAGTTGTTTTTCCTCATCAATTTTGTTTCCCCCTTTACTCTGAGTTAGTTTAGTCTAGTGAATTTGTTACATTTTGTTGTACCAGTAAACTGCATTTGAAAATAGTTTATTATTTGTGTCATTGTCATAGCCTGCTAGAAAGATTTTCTACCTGGCATTAATAAGATGCAATTGCAAGCTGAATGTGTATTGTTTCCTGTGTCATGTGGGATTCTCAAGTGTAGTGACCTCTTTGTTATGGCTAAGGTTTTGCACCTGAAACCCCCTAAATCCTCATTCTTTTACTCAAATAATTGGGGTTGGAGTGTAATTTGGGATGCAAAACAAACTGAGGTAGACGTTTGAAGGATTTTGTTAGATGTGCCATGATTTTAAGAAGGATGAGGAATTGGGATTCTCTGATTTTGGGTGATATATAATGTTTTTATGGTGATTTTTGAGTGTAAGAGGGTTTGAAATGATTTTATAGGTGATTTTGAGGATATTTTATTTAGAAAATGATGATTTTAGTGTTTTAGTTGAAGGAAAACTTATGAAAGGGTTTTATTGTGACAAATGAAATAAAAACTGGGGGATTAACTTTGATGTTATTCGGGTACCAAATTACACATTAATTACGGTAGAGGAACTAAAAGTGTACTTTAACCATTAGTGTTTCATGAAGGTCTGTTAGCCACATTGTTTGTGTCTTATTGCAGCCATCTGTTAGAAAGCAGCACAATGCAGGTTACAAACACAAGGTACCATGAAATTTTTAACTTCTTGGAATAAATCTAGAATGTACACCATATTCATGGCGTTTAGTATCTGATCATATCTTCAGGCAAATGTGAGAACCTACTACCAGCAATTTGAAGAACAACAAACACAGAGTTTAATTGATCAGAGGATCAAAGAACATCTTGGGCAAGCTGCAGCGTTTCAGCAGGTTGGTGTAGCTTATAATCATCTGATGGTTCAGAGGCCAAACCTTCCTCCTGTGTTGCCGCCACCAAGACTGCCTATTCCTGGAAATACACAAGTACCTGGAGGCCAACCACTAATGCCAGGGATGAGACCACCTGTCTTTCCTAGACCACTTCCTGGGGCACCAGGTGAATTTTATTTTGCACATTGCTTTTGTGAAGTTCATAAAGCTTCCATCTCTTCTTATTGAAACATTCAATCTAGCTTGGGCTGTCATATTTATGTCTTTGCATTTTACTTGCAGATATGTGGTTCTTTCAATTATTATCTTAACAGTGACTCTTGTTATGCATATGCCAAGGGCTAACCACAAATTAATTTTGGTTTCTGTTGTTGCAACGACATTGTTATTTAAATCTCCTTTTATATGGAGCTTCTTTGGATTTTCTGTATAAAAATAATTATTTTGTTAAATAAATAAAATAAGTTTTGGACAAGAAAACCTATCTATGCTTTTATCTGTTTCTTCTTTAAGTTGTTATTTTATCTAATGCTGAAGTTCTGAAAAATTTGATAGTCATGTTCAAGCATTATAAATTTGTTCTTTTATTACCCAATATCTGATGTAATTGATTTTCAATTGGAATATATAGGATATGTTTCTGCACCTACGATGCCTCCAATGTTACCCCCACCTGGTGCTCCCCAGGTGTCAGGTCAACTTAATACCCTACCAAGACCCCCTTCATTAGCTCCCCCTCCAACTGTTCCTGGTAGCACTGCTGCCCCAGCTTCCAATGGTGCTCCCTCTATGGTATCATCAGCAGTGTACCAAGCCAATCCACCAGCACCATCATCTGGAGGTTATGATAATTACAATGCCAGTGCTCAAGCACCTGAGGGAAATCACTGACCTGGTTAAAATGGTATGTTATTTAATATTAATTATTGAATTTTATGAAATAAAATACTTGTTCAACTATAACTTGGGTGAAAGCATTGTAGTTGCTGGAATCACGTATCCACTGAATTTCAAC